CTTCAGTAGCCTGATCTGCCTAAGATGGAAAAATGCAGATCTGGCGACTGCAGCAACCTGGGCCTCCATATATAAGGAGATATCCAGTGTTACTCCCAGGCTCTTCACTGACTGTGCCGGCACCAGAGGTGTCCCTTCCAGTGTGGGAAGCCTGGTGCCCACCTCCAACCCCCCATGACCCAGGTACAGGATCTCCGTCTTCGATGGATTTAACTTCAATTGACTCTGCTGCAACCATCCAGCGACAGCATCCGAAGCCTCAGCCAGATTTCCAGGAAACGGAGGACGGATGACCATCCATTAACAGATAAAACTGAGTGTCATCAGCATACTGATAGCAACCCAGCCCATGACTCCGGACTAACTGGGCGAGGGGGCACATAGAAATGTTAAATAGCATTGGTGAGAGGACCGTCCCCTGCGGCACTCCACATTCTAGTGGGTACCGCGGGGAGACCCTCTCACCCAGCACCACCCTCTGTCTTCGACCATGGAGAAAGGAGGAAAACCATTTCAAGGCAGTCCCCTGGACTCCTACATCGGCAAGTCAGTGGGTCATAAGATCATAATCGACCAAATCAAATGCTGCCGTTAAATCTAATAACAGCAGCAGCGCTGACCTGCATTGATCCAGATGCCTATGGAGATCATCTTTTGTCCTTGACATGTATCTTTGGACCTGTCGGTTCTATGATGTAGCAAACAGGTCCACTTCCATTGTCCCGAATCTGTTGATGATCTGTTGGCCGGACATAGTTGCCATTCTGGTTGATCCAGTTGACCTCTGTTTAATTCGCCCACCAGGATGCTGTCCTTGCCTGCAACATGAATCGCCTTTAGAGACCAAAGAGTCATTTCCGCCTGTGTCATCAGAAGGCTCACCTCCTTGTGTAGCAACCGTACACTTGTTCCTCCTTGTCTGTTTACATAGGCCTTTGTGGTGGTGTTGTCCGTCTGGACTAACACGTGCTGTCCCACCAGTAGGTCCCTGAATTGCCTGAAACCTAACTTGGCCCTGGGTTCTAGGAAGTTTATGTTCTTCCTTGTTTCTTCCTTCAACCACAGTCCTTGCGCCATCCTGCTCTGTGAGTGGGCCCCCCACCCCAATAGGCTTGCATCCGTGGTCATCACCACACGTTTTGGTTCCCGGATCGGGAAACCCTGTAGAAATTGGGAGGGGTTCATCCACCAATGTAAATACTGTTGACGCTCCTGTGGAATTTGAACCATCCAATGTTCTTTCTTGGCAATGATGTTTTGCTTACTGCAGTTCCACTGGGGCAGTCATCCCGGTCGCGTCGTTCTCCACGCCGGGTGCTTCACGCACGGGAACTCCTTCGGCTCTCGGCAGTTTCCCCAGTGCCTTCACAAACTCCTTGCTCTGCTCTCTTAGCCAGGGGAGGGGCAGAGGAGGACTCTCCATCCCAATGGGGAAGAGTCCTGAGGGAGTTTGTGGATAGGGCCACGGCTACCAGGAGTCTCCCCGTGCCGCCGGCCTGCCTTGAATGTCGCTGATTGAGGCTCAATCAAGGCCTTTCCCCCCGGGACCAAGTGTTGCTGCCAGCTACAGCCTGATGTGGTCCCCCGGGGCCTGTTTGCTGGATCTTCACTCAATGAGCCGAGTTCCATCCTGCTTCGTCGGCAGGGCCAGTAAGACTGGGGAGAGCCCAGGGGAAAGGACCCTACCCCAGCTGGATCAATCAACGAGACCGGCCCTGCTTGAGGAGGAGGAGCCTAATCCCATAAGGAAGGACTGTCTCTGTCATGGGCATGGATGAAGATGAGCTGACAGAGCCTGCAGAAACCACAGCTGGCCCCTCTGAAGCAGCAGAGGATACCTAGCAAGTGCCTGTAACAGCAGTCTTCATACCTGGCCCAGATAAGAAAGAAGAACTGCAAGATGAAAGTCCTCCTGACTCACCCACACGTGTGACTCGTTTAAGGGAGCGACTGCGACAAAACTTAGCAAGCAAAGAGAGGCCAGGCTACAAGGGAGACGCTCAGCCAGCCCAGAGTTCTAACAGGAGCCTGGCTGATAATGCAGCTGGCTAACTGGTAGCAGCATTTAACTCCACACTCTGGGCAGTACCCTTCGTGGAAGCAACAAGTCAGCTTCGTGCTGCTAGCATCCACTCTGACTCGGCTCTTTGGATCCCCTGGTTTGGGCTTGGTTCTGTGTACCTGGCTCCTGACCCCGGCTTGGCTTTGGACTACGTTTCTGGTTAGTGATTTGGACTCGGCTCTGTGTTTCTGGCTTCTGACCCTGGCTTGGCTTTTTGGACTTTGCACTGTCTTCTTGGCTCCTCATCTTGGCTTGTTCTGGACTCCCTTTGACTGGCACCCCTGCCTGTGACAGTCTCATTCACTGGACCACCAGAGAAAACAGTAAATTGTAGCAAAAACCTTTTGAATCAGTTTCAGTCCAAATGCCGTATCTTACTACTACAGACTAATACACCTGACAGATACTTTTATAACCTGCTTCAGCTTGGAAGAGGAGCATTTGTAATACTAACTGGGGTGAAGGGTTAATTAATTAATTTATTTATTATTTCGATTTGTTATACCGCCCTAACCCCTAGGGGTCTCTGGGCGGTTTACAGAAAGGCGTTCTATGAACTGTTTGATACCCTATTACTATTACTTAAATGACCGCTGTGTTGGACAGAAGGCTGTCCTGCCCCTGAGAAGGGGGATGGAATGTTGAATGGAAACACAGCAGGAGCTGAGTTCAGTTCTGCCTCAGGGAGAGAGCAATGAGAGCTCAGGTCTGGCTCAGAAAAAGAGTAGAGTGAAGGGTAGCTCTGCTTGATAGTGTGGCAGAGTGGTTTTGCTCTACTTCAGAGAGAGAGAGAATAGGGTACCCAATTGTTAGGCCTGTCTCGGGCAATGAGCAGACCTTGTGTCATTTAGTCTGACTCTTGGGAAAGGGCAGGCTGGTATGGGTGGAATCCTGCGCATGTGTGTTGGGATCCAGCCTAGGGGCTAATCAATAAAAGCCTGTCTAAGTATTAAAGAAAACTGAAACTACTCTCTAAATCAATGTGCCTCAGCCAGGTTTCTCTTTTGTATATCTGGAGACATGTACTGCTAATCTGTTCATGGAAACCTACTTGTAAATAAATAAATAAATCTTCCTTGTGGTTAATATATAATCCCTGCCTCTGTGACCTCCATATTCTCCTTGTGCACCACAAAGCTTACCTCACAGGAACGAACCAAAAGCCTAGACTCTCAGTCTCACTACCTTTAGAATACCTGGTAACTGATGGGAAGGTTTATTGTTTAAAATAAACCTGGTTTCCACAAAATCATAGGAAACTGCATGGGTCCCCTCAGTTTATAGAAATGGCCTGTCACAACCACGCTTTCAGAGACACCAATTCGTTGGCAGCAATTCAGAAATATGCTTAAGTGTGAAAAAAGGTCCTGAGCAGTTACTCAATATAAAGGATGTGAGTAATAAATTCTTCCTGCCAACTTATGCCAGCATTTGATGAATTAAAACAGTTGCTGTAAAATACAATGCAAAAAGTGATATGAACTAAAGGACACTCAGGAGATTGTAATGCAAAGCAGCATTTCACATGACAGCTCTTCTTCCTCATTCTTAGGAATAGATGCCATTCTTGAGACCTAAAACGGAACCCACACAAGGAGCAGATAAAACAAACTATGACATGATTCAGTACAAACAACAGAAAGCAGCACGCACACACCGGCTGCAAAAGAAACACCTAATGCTCTTTTCTATATACACTGTGTGACCACATTTCCTGTGAAATATAAAGTTATTTTCTAAAGAGTATGAACAATGGATTACATGACCAAGCATCTTTTAGGTAGACTCTTGGTGAGAAATTCTCATGCCACTACAAACCCATAATCTCCTCCAAGATGACACAGCATTTTCATGTTTGTTTGTTTTGTGACATTGTCATCACTTAATAGAAATACTATGCTGGAATTTTTCTCTAGATGATTAAATACTGGAATTTTATCCACAGCTGTGAGCTAATGATCTCAGAAACTAGGTCTCAGGGAGTCAGTGTCTTTCAGCCTAAATTTCCTTTCTAAAACCATTATATATATATTCAACTGTCCTCTTTCAGTACTATAATACAATCATTAAAACAAACTGCAGTATTTGTATATTTGGTTAACATGTACAAATGGAATTCTTTCAATATTCAGAACCCATTTTCATTAGCTACTTAAAAAAAATAGCCACTTTGTTCAGTAATATACAACTTTTCGTGGGAAAGGGGTAATTTGCTGTTCTGCTGAATGGCCTGGTACTATAACCAAAAGTGAAGCAATTAAGGAGGCATAGCTAGAATTCAGACCAGAGACTGTAACATGCAGCTCAGCCTACTAACTGATCCAATTACAGCAGTTTGGAAGCTATCTCTGTAAGTTTGGCAGCTTGGGGGGAAAAGCCATTGTGATCACAGAAAATCACTGCTGGACTGAGAAAGTGTTTGTGGACATACTTGTATACCCTGCATACATTTGTATGGAGGACAGCTTTGCCACCTTAGATATCGGGTGTTTAAGCTAGCAACAATGCTGGCATAAGTGATATAGAGTAAGAGAAGTTGTTTTGATCCTGGAATAAAAGACCCTAGAGTGGAATGTAGGCCACTGGGAGTCAGAAAAATATTTTGGGACTGGAATGACAGGTCCCAGAGTGGAAAGATGGCACCTGAGAATACCAGAAGCATTTTGGGGAAGTGATATAATGCTGGCATAAGTGATAACTATCACTCACAGTTGACAACAAACCTTTGGAAACTTTTGTTTTTCTTCTCATTGAGGTGATAACAGTAATTCTACTGACTGCATTTAGACTTGAAAGTACATGCATAGGCACTGATATTAAGCATGGCAGACACATTGCTACTTTGTTTGTTTGACAGTTTGTATTTTAGAATATGATTGAGTTATAAGTGGGCCTGAATCCGCAAATGTGATTCAAAATCTCATTTCCCAAACCACAGGTACTGAATCAGACAACAAGGTTGGAGCTTCAACTTCTGGCACATTCCCTTTCAACTAGCAGACTAGAAAGGCAAATTTTGGATCAGACCAGTGAGATAGGCAAACTGCAAGAAAAAAACAGGTAACAACTCTTGCTATTCCACCATGTATTGTTTATTTCAGTTGTCCTTTTACTCCCAGCAATTGCATGATGAATAGCATTGACCTCAAAAGCACTGGAAGCTTTTATTTCATTAGACAAAAATGAACTGAGGATGGAATAACATAAAGATATAATACTGTCTGTGTGCATGAAGTTTTTGAAACATGACAAAAGTTGAGCGGCCACCTTCATACTCAAGCCATTGTATACATATAAACCACAGTGTGTTCATGAAATTGGGTCCAGCAAAATAAGTATGAGAAGTACAAATAAATCTGTTCTGAACTGATGCCACAGCTTTCCCCAGCTTACTGCAGCTAAGCAATTTATGGAAACTTGGTCCTTAAAAAATCCTCTCCAGAACTTGCTTTTTCCTTCAGTTCATTCACAAGCAGCTGCTATTATTAAAAAAACCCAGTCTCTTGCATATTTATGCCAGCCTTCCTCCAAGGATCTCAGAACTGAAGGTTTTGCCTTCCCCAGCTTATACTCACAACAATCCTGTGAGGTAGGTTAGGTAAAGAGAGTGCACACATGCATCAGGCTGAAGGTCACCCAGCAAGGTTCATGATTGAATAGGGATTTGAACTTGCTCTCTCAGATCTGAGTCTGACACACACTCACTTACAATGAAGAGCAAGATAGCACCTTAAAAACCAACAAAATGGTAGAACATTCACTTAAGTTGGAGGAAGGGTCCTTGGGCTGGAAGGAGGCTTCAAACCTTGCTCAGCGGAGTGCTAAGTACACTCCACCCACATTTATTTCAGCCATCAGCATTCTTGAATCAGAGCTTATGCTGAAATAAATTTTATTAGTCTTTAAGGTGCCACTTGACTCCTGTGTAATTTTGCTACAACAGACTAAAATGGCTTCCCCTTGGATTTATCTATACCATATTGCCTCTCACAAATTAATATGTCTGGAAAAGAATTTTTTGTAGGCAATACAGACAATGCAACAAAATATTTTAAAAAGATAAGCCAGGGGGCAATGTATATCAGTCTGGTTTTAGAAGTGTAATTTTTCTACAACAGACACCATCAACAGATTCTGAACTCAGTACACACATTGGCCTAGAAACTGCCTCTCCATTCAGAGGGCAGTGGAAAACTCCCAACAGGAATTGCCTTCTAGCCAAAGTGTTACTGGCAATAATAACTGAAAAGAATTTCCCTTGATCGGATGGCTAATCGTCCCATCATTGTTTTTCCCTCAATAGCATGAAGCAGTTAGTGCAGAACTGCTACTCTGCTCCTCATTTTTTAAATCACTATTCAAACCTATACAATCCAACAAGATTTTACCAACCATCCACATATAGTGAAACTCACCATTTAACTAGAACAGCTTTATGTGATTGCTGGTCAAAATGAGACCATCCGACTGCACTGGATGCCACAAAAATTTGCTGTCATTTTTAATCCCCCCAAAAGATAAACATTTGGTTACAGTCTTGGCCAAAGTGTTCCTTTTCATTTGCTGAGAGTCAGACATGATCCCTGACTACTTCCATATTCAGTGTACAACATCAAAGGACCCCAAGTTCCTTTTTGTTTATCTAAAATATTTGAGTGACAGCTGGCCAACAGCACTGTTAACATTTCTTGCTGAGCTAGGATCACATTAGGCCAACTGGTGCAGAGGGATGAACTGTGATCTTGGTTTGCTCCATCAGTATTTTGTTTGGCTTTCCATTGGCTATTAAAAAGAATCTACCCTTATTCTCTTTTTATATATATATATATATATATATATATGTCCCTTCACCCTAAAATCAACACCTAGGCCAAACCCTTGGGCCTAGGAACACAAAATTCAGGGAGAGTGCTCCTACCATGACATAGATGTTCACTAAGAAGGGATTTTTAGAAATTCTACCCCTAAGGGGGTCAAGAGGGATAAAATGTGCTCCCCCCATTGATTCCTATGTGGCTGCCAGGCTGCTGCCTCCTTGCACCCCCCCACCCTCTGATTGGTCAGTTGCGGAGCTCAGCATTCTGAGGTAAAAAAAACCCCACAGTTGCAGGAGACTGTGAGCTAATTACAGTAGAGGAAATCAGGAGTGGCCAACAGTGAGGTGCAGTAATGCTGCTGGCCCAGCCTCTCTGATGGCTTACAACACACTCCCCCCACTTCCTACACCTAACAGGCAGCTGTCTGTCAAGTGCAGCAGCAGTTGCAGGGTGCTTAAAGCCACAAGGGAACCCGCCCCAGCAGTAATGTCTTGGTGATCCTGCCAGGCCCACCTCCACAGTGGCCTCTAATACTCCTCCCCCTCCCCCTCCTACACTGGACAGGCAGCTGCCTATCAGGTGTAGGAGAGGAGGTGGGATGCTTACATTTTTCAAAAAAGCCAGCATGGCAATTGAGTTAATGAATATTTATAGGGAGATAGTAAAGGACATTTCTAGGAGCCATTTCGATGTGTGCCTCCCTCATGAACCTGAAGGAATGTCCACCACATCACCACTCCCTCACACCAACTCCCCCTCATACCTCTCACTGCCCCCAAGAAAGCTCCTGGCAAATGTCCAGCCAGATACACCAATGCTACAAGGAGGAGGCAACCTAGGAATGCGGCAAAGACATTTGAACATACCGTAGTACTCCTGCAATGCACTGAGCTGCACTTGCCAAGTACCAGCATGATCACCCTGAGGTGCTCAGAACAACACAGTCTCCATATGAGCAAAAGAATCCAGGAACACAAGTAGAGAGGCCATCACTTTCGTGGAAGGTGGCAGGAGTGGACTTAACAGACGACTGCTTCTTAAATGGACAGTTCTATGTTTGCCTGCTCCAGAGTGAGCTCATCAAGCAGCCTGGTGATCCTAGCACCCGAGGGCAGAACCAGCAGTGTGGTCTAGAGAGAGGTCCTTCAGTAGAGGGGGGGGGGAGTACATATGTCTCACTTCATTTTTTACACTACAGTCTTTGCCATTAGAATTCCTACAACAAATGTTACATTTCAGTCTTCACATCATCAGTATTATAACTGGAGCAGCTGACCATCCTAACGGAACATCCTACTTGTTCTGTTTCACTGTTCTCACTTTTAGTAAGCTTTTGATGTATCCAGGGCTATTTTTGGGCAGGAACGCACAGGAACGGAGTTCCGGCTGGCTCCCAAGTTGGCTACGCCTAGCAGGAACTCATTATCATAATAGGCCACACCCAACAGCAGAAACTCATTAGGATTGGCTGCATTAGGGGTGTGTGGCCTAACATTCAAAGGAGTTCCTGCTCCAAAAAAAGCCCTGGGTGTTGACAACAAACAAGGTAAACGGAATAAGAAGCAAAAGGTGCTTGTGGCTGGATGACCACACTTCTGGTAACATGGGGGGGGGGGGGGACCTAATGAGTTTCTGCTGTAGTGTGTGGCCTATTATGCTAATGAGTTCCTGCCGAGCTTCTTCTACAAAAAAAGCCCTGGATGTATCCAATTACATTGTACAAAAATGCAAGGTGTTTGCTTAAATAAAGAAAAAGTGTTGAATTGCAGGACAGTCTGGCTCTACACAGTATAACAGGCAGCTGAATTTTAAAATTAGCAAACTATATTTTCAGTAGGATCCTTATGCTGAAAGAACTTTTCATTTCTGGTAAACACTAGAATAGGGGGGAAAGGGCATGTTTTCACATTTGTCTTCACTATCCAGTTATATTTGTGTATGTGCCCCCAAGGTTTGTTTTATACAAACAATATTCTTTACCCAAGAGGGGCAAAGTAAACAGGGATTAAATTTTACAATGTCATTTACTGTGGTAAGAGTAAGAACAGTCTTTAAATATTCCAAATAGCATAATGTTGCCTACTCAAAGAGCAACATACAGTTAAAATGATTTTTTTGGGAGGAGCATACACTGTAAAAGATTTTCTTAATATTTGTGGGAGAAAAACAGAGTGACCCAAAAGGCATATCTATTCTTCAGAGTAACATAGACCTCTAGAACATATAATGTCCTTAGAGCTGTACCTGTTTAAGACGGTTCTTGACACTAAATATTACAGAGCTATGCAGCGTAAGCGGTACTATGCAAATCTGCTCAATTTATATAATTTATGTAGCACTCAGAAATTACATTGCCTGAGCCAAAATTTTTTTTAATATTCTTAGCACAGGACACTCAAAGTCCTGGTGATTTCCAAAATATTGCTGTAGTTAACCCACAGTAGAATCCAAAGCTATTTGCCACACAAAATATTCACTATGGTAAGCAATAGCTGAACAGGACTTACAGTGGTCTGCCAATGGCTCCTTAATTGGCTGACTGCTCTTTTTGTGTTAAGGGATATAGAAATGCCACACCAGTCCCAGTGATTTTGAAACTGTTTGTTAGCTTTTTAGAAAAAAAAGTCCTTGACATGGAAGACAAGCACATGCTTCAGCTACAATCAATGAAGGACGAAAAGGATAAGCTACAGTCAATAGTGTCCGGACAAAACTCCATAATAAAAGAACTAGAGCAACAGCTGGTCACAGCCACAGCTAACAACTCATTTCTGCAAAAACAGCAACACGATCTAAGAGAGACAGTTCAGAACTTGTTCTTTATGATTTCTACACCAAACCGTAAGTGAAGCAGAACACTCTTCTAGTGAGAAACAATTTCATCCTGGTTAGCATACCCGCTCTCTATCACCTCCCCATTTCCCTCAACTTCTTTCTTAACAGAAAGTAAAATTATACCAGGCATGCAGAGACTGAGGTTAGTTTTTCACTCTCACTTGCAACTGGAACCCCTATTAATGTAGGTATAAAGAAAGGACTCAAGAGCCAAAGCTACCCTGAGGTTTGGCCCCAGTGTAAAGTCTGGTTAGCCTACTTTCATGTATGGGTGTTAAATGTCATAGCAGAGTGGTTTTGAGAAGGGCAAGCCTGTGGGTCACCCTGTGACAGCAATCCCAGAGGACCAATGTCTCCCACAAACAATTCTGGTTATTTCTTAGCATTAGACTTGAACCTCTGAGGAGGCAGAAGCCAACTGTTTTGGGATAGCAGGAACACAAATGACCCATCTGTGGGCTACTGAAAAACTCCCAGTTTTGGCTTTTGAGAATTTTGAGGAGTCTCTCTGGTGATCTAGTTCATAAGACCGGCCTACCTGAGGGACCGCCTTTCCCCGTATGTTCCCCAGAGAGCACTGCGATCAGGATCCCAAAACCGCCTGGACCTCCCTGGCCCTAAGGAAGTCAGGTCGATGGTAACCAGGACGAGGGCTTTTTTGTTTGTAGCTCCGTCCTACTGGAACGAGCTCCCTGCCGAGATCAGGGCCCTGTGGGACCTGTCACAGTTCCGCAGGACCGTGAAAACAGAACTTTTCAGGCAGGCGTTCCGATAGGAGCGACGTTTTACCAGCAGCGCCCTGTGGCGAACTCCGATCCTATACGAGCTAATGCGGCGGTACCACCGAATGTGTCCCTAAACTGCACTTCAGTTTTATCGCCATCTAATGAATGTTTTATATTGACTGGTTATGTTTTAACTGATGTTTTATATTTTATTGTGAATTTATACTGCTTGTCAGTTCCTGGAAGCCGCCCTGAGCCTGCCTAGTGGGGAGGGCGGGGTAAAAGTGAAATAAATAAATAAATAAATATATGAAGCTTTCTTATACAGAGGCTGACCACTGGTCTGTCTGACTCAGCACTCTGCCTTTAACAAGCTTCCAAGGACCTCAAACAGAGAACATTCACTACCTGTGATACTTTAGCTTGAAGGTGCCAGGAACTGAATCTTCTTCATGCCAAGCAGGTGTTTGCCACTGATTCCCATCTTTTCCCTTCCCCTAGTTTCCCAGGCATGAGATCTTTCCTGCAGAATGCCCAGTAGTAACTCCCACACTTTTAAAAATTGCAAGAAGGCTTGGTAGTCCTGGAAGGCCTAAAGACATTGCCTTAAGAAAATTTCCAAAGCTCTTCATGTTTCTTGAGATGTTATCTAAATTTGTGCACAAATAAGTAAACAAGCTGAACTATGTTGGCTTCAACAACATGGAAACAAATCCTGAACATTTGCCAAATTCAAAGAGAATGCTTCTAAAAGTGTCAACGATCGAGAAGTGTGGAAAAACAATTAAAATGCTGGATGTGAGTTTTCTGCACTTTAAGCAAACTACAGTTATGAACCCTAACTACTTAACAAGATGAAAAACAAGTATGGAATAAACAGGGAAGTGGGGAGGGGGAGAGCCTTATGGAGAACAGCAACCATCGTAAGCTGAGGATACAAAGTCTGAAGTCAGCCTTGCAGTAGGTCTTAGAAAGTTATCAGCTGCATTAGCCATTATTTCATACATTTTCATGTGTTTATTTTTTAGCATCCAAAAATGCTTTGGTGGCTACTGAAGAACAGATCAGCTTCAAGGACTGTGCTGAAGCATTCAAATCAGGACTTTCAACCAGTGGAGTCTACACATTAATAGTCCCTAATACCAGAGAAGAGAAGAGGGTACTGTATTCTCTTTGTTACCTTTATTTATTTCTCATATTTATATCCCACCCATCCCATAAACGGGCTCAGGGTGGTTACAACATCTCAATAAATACAATAAAATTTAAAACACATTATAAACATATATAGATCAAAGTGCCCCCTTACTGCCTTCAGAGAGGTTTAGTTGTTCTCAAGTCACACCATTAGCTGGCCCAGCAGTACTTTCCTATTTGGAAAAAGGTGTTCCGTGGGCCTCAGCGTTTAGTCATGCTGGCCACATGACCACGGAAACGACTTCGGGCAGTGCTGGCTCTTCGGCTTGGAAATGGGGATGTGCACTGCCCCCTAGAGTCAGATTCAACTAGCTTTCAAGCAAGGGAAACCTTTACCTTTACCTTTTTAACAAATAAATAGAGACTTGTGCAGGAGTTCTGAATTATATGAATGCAACAGAGCTTGTGTAAGAGAGCTTCCTTCCTCTGGGCACCACCAACCTAATTTTGTTTCTGAGAACAAAATGGGAAATGGGATTACACACTGAGATGGGTAGGATAGCTGGGAATCATCCCCACATTCTACAAGAAGGTTCCTTCTGCAAGCAGAAAAGACACTGCAATGTCATGGAAGAATGTTTCGTCTAAGTAGACAGAACACAAAAGGGGTGTGTGTGTAGTGGCTGGTCCCACCCACTTCCTATGTCCATTGCCTGAACACATCTCTAGTCATACAAAGAGTATACACACAGGCATCTCCACACAATCTATCGTGCGCACACACACACAAGATTATATGCACAGTCAGGCAATAGACTGAATATGCATCAATCAGGACAGGGCCTGCTGCTGCAATCCCAGTCTTCACTCTGTGCAAATCTTCCCAGATTGAATGTGTGTATAAGGGTGACAGTTTTCATATTCTATTCCAAAGTAGGAACATTCTGCATTAACAAGCTACCAAAGCTGCACTAAGATGAATTCAACAGACTAAATTAGGCAAATGAAGTAACATTTCAGCTGACAGATTTTGAACTACTCATTTCTAAAATTCAGTTTGTCAAAGAATCTGGACTTTTTTCAAAATTGGGAATATGAAAATTGTGATCAGGTGACTAGCAGGCCAGTGAGAAGGAAATCCCAATCCATGAGAAACCTCCCATTCATGTTTTGCTAATCAAAACCAAAAGAAATTTCCACCAATCTGGACCACCCCAAATCAGACACTGGGCTTCTGCATATTCAACAGCTAACCATGGTTTAGGACCAGAAACAAACTGGAGCATGATGTAGCACCTCCACTCTGTGTCACTCCTTGGGTGACTTATCCTCTCTTTCAGGGCTCAACTTTTTAATATTTCACTTACTTAATTTATACCCTGCCTTTCTTCCTACTGCAGACCCAAAGCAGCTTACATTGTTTTTCTCTCCTCCATTTTATCCTTACAACAACCCTGTGAGGTGGGTTAGGCTGAGAGCTTTTGACTGGTCCAAGGTCACCCAGCAAGCTTTCATGGCAGAATGGGGGTGCAAACCTGCACCTTCCAGATCCTAGTGTGACACTCTGACCATTACACTACTGCATCCGACCACCACCATGCTTGGCTAAACATGCCCTGTATGTACTTGAACAAGATTAGTACCAAGTTACGAAGGGAAAGACAAATCCCAAGGGCCTCTAGTGCAAAATATTGCTCTATTTTATTTGAATTTCAGCTCACTGTAATATTCCAACAAGCAAATAGCAGTGGCTGTCAGCACTGTGCTTTAAACATTCTCCATTTGGCAACTTTGCTTTATTGCACCAGTGACTTTAATGCTCGTTCAAGTATTTAACAAGCCACCAAATATGCTTTAGGTATAACCTGGCAGCAGTACATGTTTCAAGCTGTCAGCAGATTTCTGCACACCACTGTGGTGCTGTTAAAAATATATATAGTTTAAACCTATGAAAAAAAGCAATTAAGCAGTATGATTAATAACATGATTTTTATTCCCAGACCTGAAGCATGGAGTACAATGATTATAGTGTTTAGACTTCATCATACCACCCCTGTTTGTCAAAGGAGATGCTGAATGGATTATCATGGCTTTCGGACCATAATCCATCAAGTACTGTTACGCAGCCTCCTTTGAAAGTGAGGTTTTACAGAAACAGTCCTGGCAGATGATGCTCTGCCTAGGAAACCCACAGAATTACTAACTTTTAGAGGCCCCATGATGACATCTTTGAAAACCTAAGAGGTTTTCAAATTATTATCCAAACTGCTCTATAATAATACTTTCAGATTTGAGCAGTAAAAGAGAATAGCTTCTCCTTTGCCAGACTGCTGCTGCTTCTGTTTTGATCTTTTTCTCTTAAAACTCATTCTGGCCTCTCGGGAGACTTATAAATAAATGCTTCAGGCCAACTTAACATTAGTCTCCCCCCCCCCCCCCGCCTCCCGCAGCTTTCATTAGAAAACATAACATAATGTAAAAACAAATGTGTTTAATATGTTGTCGAATTAAATTTGCTTAACTTTCTTGTCCAAGAAATAACATGTTATGCTATTGTTAGTGCAATCTCCTTTACCCCTCTTCATAAATAAGAAAAACAATTTAACATCATTATACTTATTTTACAAGAAGCCTTGAGAGAGGCCAGTGGGACTTGTCCCCCCCCCCCCCCGTAAAATCACAGATGCTCCCCCTTTTGCTATATCACAAAAATTATACATTTCAAAAACTATACTTTATGTCATGGAGAGCTGCTGTTTGAGTAACCCAGGGCAAAAATATAACTGGCTAGTCGGGTTCTCAGGATTATGACTTTTGACTCATGTTTCATTGAGTTTAAAAGATATAAATGAAATTACCAAAAGGCTGCTCTGAGAAGTACAATCATTTTGTGAATGATATGTTTAACATTTCAACGAAGTATCCACTTGAAAAAGTCAGGATCCATTTTTGTCCTCTTCAATCCTAAATTATGCCCTTTAGTAGTCAAAATGTTTTAGACAATCCTGTTTAGAAAAACTGAAGAGCTCTCGGAAATAAGCGCTCCAAAATTTCATTAACATTGGTCATGCATTTTTTTTAAATCATGCACTTTATCTTTCCTTAGATTTGTAATCCAGCCTCTAATTATATGGGTTTTGATCAATGATTACTGCCTCTCAGTTTGTTGCTTCGGTATTTTTCTCACAAGCAATGGAGAAAGGACTTCAAAAACAAAACATAAGTGTTATGGAAACCAAAACTGGCAACAGGATACAGAATCTGCTGAAAAGACACCTTGTACAATATTTGTAGCTGCTTCAGAAATATGTTTTTATTTTAACAAAATACTTCGATAAACAGGCCCCAATCCTTGGATTCTTATGTGCAACAGCGGGCTGTAATAAAAGCATGTTCCACCACAGATAGTCAGTGCTACCAGCTTTAAAGGTGGTGATCACCTTTTCTGGGATCCTCTTCAAGTATACAAAGAGATGACTGCTACAGCACTGACCTAGGCAGGGGTACAAACCTCACCGTGACCCTAATTTTGTCACAAACATGGCTGGTTTGTGAGATAGTGTCACCCATGAACCACCCACAAACCACCATGTTTTTGATGGAGGTTGAATAAGTTTGTGGCAGCGGTTTGTGAGCCAGACGTGTTGGTACCGATCAATTAATTCTCAAAGCAATGGGGGGGATGGACTTGGTATCATCAGCTGCCCTTGCTGTACCTGCCCATCGACTTAGTTTTCCAACTTGCCACACCCCTCCTGCGCTAGACCTCCCCCTTTTGCACTTTGGACCCTAAGATCCTCTACTTCTGCACCTCTGGGCACCCACCTGCCAGGCTTGGCATCACCAGTGCCCTTGCTGTACCTGCCCATCAACTTGGTTTTCTAACTTGCCATCCCCCTCCTGCGCCAGACCTCCCCACCTTCTTGTAGAGGGGCATCCTGAAGAAGTCCTTCTAGCTTGAAGGAGGTCTGAGGAAATCAACACACTCCTGAACCTGTGGCTGCTGTGATTACCCCAGAGAGCACTTTCCTGGGGGCACCTGCTTTTTGGGGGCGCTATTGTTCCCCCAAGCCAATCTGCACACAACTTGGAGGGCAGGTAGAGGGGCTTCCCATGGAGTTCTTCTGCAAGTTTGATGCCTCTAGTTTGCAAGGGGGCTGTTTGCCACACTCCTGAACTTGTGGCTGTGATTTCCCCAGAGAGCACTTTTCTGGGACACCTGCTTTGGGGGACTGTAACTCGCCCCACCCTAAATCCAATCCTTACCAAACTGGAAAGACAGGTAGAGGAGAATCAGCTGGAGATTCACTACAAGTTTGGCATCTCTAGCCCATGGGCAGCACTCTACCACATCACAAACCTTATGAACCACAAACCAATTCGTTAAACGGGAAGGTTCATGGTTCATGAGACCCCACAAACCATGAACTCGGACGAACCTCTATTTTCCTGGTTCATGCCCATTCCTACGACCATCTCTTTGTATGTGCATGTACTCTGAAGGATCACTTTGTATACAAACCTGTATATTCAGTGGAATAGTTCTACCTTCACAGTATCCTTTAGTACACAAGCAGTCTGATTCAGCCCTGGTTTACATGTGCTGTCATCTTTGGTAGATTACAATAGAATTTCCATAGGAAATAACATATTTGAGTCACAGTGTTAAGGTGAACCAAGGTGAACCACTGGCTCTAGATTGAATACCGGATCAAGTCCAAGGTGTTTCTTTCAACCTTTAAAGCCCTTCACGGTCTGGGACCAACATATCTTTGGAACTACCTCTCCTGGCTCTACGCTCTTTAAATAACAACACACTGATGGTCCTAGGCCCAAGGAATATATGCCTGGCCTCAACTAGAGCTAGAGCCTTCTAGGCGGTAGCTCCAGCTTGGTGGAATGCACTTCAAAGCGAGATCTGGGCCCTGTGGGACTTGGCTTATTTCCACAGGGCCTGTAAAATGGAGACATACCGCCAAGCATATGGGTGAAGCCAGGAGAATTCCTAGTCGTATAGTTCTTCCTGCCCCTTCTCCCTCTTTTTTCTTCCCCTGGGACAGTGACAGTATTATTATATACTGATTAACTGTACATATTTGAACCTGATTCTGTTAAATGTATATGTTTTAACTGTATTTTAAAACCATTTATTATATGTTGCGATCCGCTCTGAGCCCCACGACAGTGGGGGAGAGCGGAACAGAAATTAAAAGAATAAATAAATAATGTTCCCCTGGCCATAAACACTCAGTTTTGTACAATAATGTTTGTAAACTGTGCATAATTTTCATGCTTATCCCTGCCAGGCATATTGTGATATGGAGACCAGTGGTGGAGGGTGGACAGTTATTCAGCGACGCTCAGATGGCAGTGTAGACTTTGATCGAACGTGGATGGAATACAAGATGGTAAGAGCAGAATGAATTAATCCCATCCTCTCGATAAACTCAGCTTCTGATGCAAATATGAAGTGACCCAACTAGACTGAATGGATTTTTCTTGCTGCTGTAAGTGGTAGCGCTCCCTCAACTGATCTACTGTTCTCAGATATGAATACTACTGTGCTTTCTTTGGATAAAACCAATAATGATAACCATTTATTTAAACAGATGCTTACATACAAGAGACTTGTATTTTTAAAATGAGAATTATTTACATTTTTTGTATGTCTGTTGTAAATGAAAATTTTCATTGCTTTCTCTCAGCTATATCTGTTGACAGCTGTAATACTGAAAAAAAGAAGAAGAGCCAATTTCAAACAACAACAAAACTTATACAGTTTAATATCCAATTTGATTACAGGGATTTGGAAATCCTTCCGGGGAACACTGGCTGGGAAATGAGTTGGTTTCTCAACTAACTAATCAGAAGCAATACATGCTTAGAATGCATCTGAAAGACTGGGAAGGAAGTGAGGCATATTCCTTATATGAACATTTCTATCTAGGAAGTGAAGAACTAAAATACAAGTAAGTGAGCAGAGGTTAAAATTTGCTCCTTAATTAATGTATTAAATAACTATTTTTCCTTTAAAATATATAAGTGATAGAACAATATAGACAGAACAATATAGATAGATAGTAATAGAACAAAGGATCACACAGTTGTACTACTAAGGAATATTATTTTGGTCCAAGTAGGAAATTATTTTGGGGACAGTGGGTCCAAAATTTTCCTTTAGAATGTGTATAATAATCTGGATAGATCAATGAAAGTGTCAACCCATAATGCCCCTGTATAGATTTATGGTGTGGTCTCATTTAGAATACTGTGAGAAGCTCCAGTCACTGTATCTCAAAATGGACACTGCAGAGCTGGAAAAAGTACAGAAGAGGGCAACATGTATGCCTCCTACAGAGTCAGACCTCAAATTAACTCTAGCAACAGAGGCCATTAGTTTCTTAAAGTTACAAGTGCTGCTTCTATCATTTTGGACAGTTTTAACCCCCTCAGTGTATTTATTTTTAAAGATTTCAGATTTTTTGCAAACCTGGGGCTTTCTTCAGGTCTGCAGAAAGCTCTGTCTCATTTGTCCATGGCTCCAGTCTCCAGATTTGAGTCTCCGCAGATAAGGCCACATTTAACATGCTAGTTATCAATCCCACCCACAGTGAATTCTCCTGTTATCCTAATTTTATTCATACATGAAAGCCAGTGTGGACAGGACTCTGGGGCAAGTGATGCTCTGTCATCTTGGTGCTTGGGGGGGTCAACAGTGGGATGGCCAACAGTGGGATGGCTTCTAATGTCCTGGCCCCACTGGTGGACCTCCTGATGGCACTGGTATTTCTGGCCACTGTGTGATACAGAGTGTTGGACTGGATGGGCCTTGGCCTGATCCAACATTGGCATCTCTTATGTTCTTATGTTCTTAAGTCACACCTGTTACGTTTCAACTCTGTATAATCCTGCCCTGTGTATCCTGTTCACTCCCTGCTCCTATCCATTTGTTATTCCTCCATCCTTATCGTTTGCCCTCACCTGCCATTGCATTCCTGGGGGGAGGGGAGTGAATGTCTGTAGAATTTAGGGAGGCTAGCTTCAGTAACTCTTCTATGGCTCCTCGAAGACATCTTTTCACATGCGAAGTGTCTTTGAGCAGAGTCTGCATTTGGCTAGTAATAGACCGTATATCTTTCATGGTCTTTGTAGTATTGCTGACCTGTATGAATGGAATTTTGAGGTTGTAATTATACGCTGCTTTCCCGCCTTTGCACGTCAGTCCTGACAAAGAGTCTAAACCCATCAGCATCTCAAATCTCTAATAAACCTTTCAAAAGAAAGTGTGTGTGGAGAATGATTTGACTGGGAACCTGACACTTATTCCCAGGAAAGTGCCTTAGGATTGTGGCCTGTGTCTCCGGTCTGTCTTGGTCAGTATTAGCTTAGGGCTGCCAATCCCCAGTTGGGGGCAGGGGATCCCCCGGTTTGGAGTCTCATGGCTTTCAGAAAGTTGGGGGGGGGGAATACTGCTGAGTGCTCTGTTACACTCTATGGAGACCAGTCCTCCTAGGGTATAATGGAGAATCAGTATGTGGGTTTGTGGGGCTCTGGGGGGGTATTTTTTGAGTTAGAGGCACCAAAATTTCAGCATAGCTGCTGCTACCTCTCCTCAACACCCCCCCCCCCCAGTTTCAAAAATATTGGACCAGGATGTCCAATTCTATGAACCCCAAAGGAAGGTGCCCCCATCCTCCATTATTTCCAATGGGGGGAAAGCTTTTAAAAGGAACATGGTCCCTTTACATGCAACGATAGCTTACCTAAAACTCATTTTGGACTTCTCTCTCCCTGAGCCTCCCTCCCTCCCCTCTCCTGGAACCTCCTGGTAAGTCCCACATCTGCTTGTCGGCCTCACCTGGCAAATCTATATTAGCTACCCTCACTGGCAGCAGTGCCCCAGGGTTTAAGGCATAAGGTGGTCTTTCCCAGCACCTGATCCTTGAGATCCTGTAACTGGAGATGCAGGAACTGGACCTGGGACATTAAGCAAAAAAGGAGGTGTAGTACCACTGAGCTGCTGTGCCCCCCCCACCATTTTATCATCTTTTAAAAAAAATTAAAGCCTCATTTTAGAGGTAACTCCCCATTTATTTTATTTTAAATTACTTTTACTGGTAAAAGAATTAAATACAACAAAAAAGATCTAGAAGAACACGGGTTGACCAAGGTGCAGACTAGTCAGTTTAAAAATTTTGTGGATCACAGCAATATCTTACAGAAGGTTTTAGGTTCTTCCTAAGGGGGGGGGGGGACCTATTCTGACTCAACCCAAATATTTCCTCATCTGGAAGCACTTAGGCACTACAGCAGGAATTTTTATTTTTACATTCAAGACAATATGCTGTTTATAAAGGTTACCTTTGTAAAATGGGTCATTACCCTTGTCCATTTACATTATTGAAAAATAATTACTGCAGATGAAGATGGCTGTCTGCAACTATATTTCTTTTTGAAATGAAACCAAGTTTTTGAGCCACAAAATGTAAAGTTTAAAAATATGCCTCTTACAAAACAGATATATTTTGATAGTCAATCTGATTTAATTTTGATAGTCAATCTGATAGTCAATCAATTTAGCTATGCTAAAGCATTACTTAAAAGTAAAGCGGCAGAAGAAAACCCAAAATAAAACAGTTGCAGATAAAATAAGAAGGCTCTTAACACAGAAATCTGACAGTAACTAGTGATGCCACTCAGTCCATAAAATGACCACAACCCAGTGAACACATTCCATGTGTGCATAAGAATCCTCAAGAATCCTCAAGAATCCTCAAGAGAAGAATCCTGCACCTACCACTGAAAGCTACATGCACTGTGATGCGACTACATGTGCATACTTAAAAAGGATAATTGGTACTTGATAGTGCTGATTTCCTATTTGTGGAGGTGCAGAAATTTAATCTGATCCCACTGAGTGCCACTGTCCCAATGTCAACTGTACGTTCGGCAGGGCCAGAGATTCTAATGCATAGCAGCATACATGCTATCCATGTGGAATTAGAGAAATATTATTTAAACCAGAACCGCTTCTTCAGACATTAACAGTACAGTTCTAAGCAGGGTTATATCCTTTGAACCCACTGACTTCAATAGGCTTAGAAGTGTAACTCTCCTTAGGATGACAATGTAAATATTCTCGAAATGCATGCAGGCATGCAAGCTGACGAAAATTGGCTGCAGATGTAAATGTCTGGGGTATGAACCTGCATATCAAGCTTTAGATATTTTCCCTTCAGTCTTCTGTATGACCTTGAAATTATAAACTCTTTTGAATGATGTGTTGAGTGATTATAAATGAGTAGAAATAACTGATTTACATTTCCTGTCTATGTCTTCTTCCCCATTACCTGCCCATGTCTTACAATACTCTTATAATAGCCTACCCTAGTTAAATGCAAATTAGAGAGAAGAAATTTTGTACACTCAGTCAAAATATTCATTACTATTTTTTGCAAAGCTATCAGGTCGATATAGTTTCCAAAATGACCATGTGTTGGTGTCAATGCAAGAAAATAACAGAATAAAAGTGGGGTCAGGGAGAATCCTGTCCATAACATCTTATATATAACTGGAAGCCTGTTTGATATTCTAATGCCAGGACATAGACAATTTCTCAACAATATCTACCTCATTATTTTCCATTAATTTAGCTATCTCAGTTCAGGAGGAGGAGGAAAAAGCTATTCCTATTCAAGAACAATGAAGGCTGTTGACAAGAAGTTCCTGGCATAGTCTCTATGCCAAAGAGAGTACATGAACCAGAGAACTGAACAGGATACTTCTAGGAAAATACTTCCTCACTGCTGCAAAACAATTGTGTGGACATGTATTAACTTGTTTCTCTCTTTCATAGAATCTACCTTAAAGGACTTTCGGGTACAGCAGGCAAAATAGGTAGCATAAGCCAACCAGGAAATGGTTTTAGCACAAAGGATGCAGACAATGACAAATGCATCTGCAAATGCTCCCAAATGTTAACTGGAGGTAAGAGGAGACTTCTGTTTTGCTCTTTTCCATTTTCGCTTGGCGCTTCTTGCAGGAAGTCAATAGCAGGTAATTTAGCCATGTTAGTTAAACACGTACAAAGTGCACCACAGGATATATCAGTGAGTTTCTTTTTCACATTTTTTGTTCTACATAGAGCAACTGAATAAGGTATGATAGAATGATTAGAATTTCTACCATATCAACTTGAATCAATTAAATGAGAAATAAAAGGTCTTAATATAGAGAGGACACTCATCTGAGAAATAAGGAAGCTCAGAAAGGGAAAATGGTAAACTAAATGAGATACTAATAAAGTATAGTATGCTGTGTTGTCATAGAAAGGAAAAGGATCAGGTGCTGGGTTCTGCACCAGTAAAACTATAAACCAGTTGTGTGGTTACGTTGACATAGTATAACACCTGGGACACTGGACTGATAAAAGACCTAAAAACACTATGACTGCTCTACTACAGTGCTGGTAATGCAGCCATGCCCTGAAAAACCATGCACAAGCACATGTGGCACAGAGCAGACATAAAGAGAGCCAGGCAGAGGAATGGAAAGCATAGTCCCATCTCTCAATTTCCTTCTGTTCTTGCACCTATTAACATCAAAGTTTGAAGGCATTAACTCCCTAGCTACACGTACAAAAGCACTTTGCTCAACTGGACCACAGGAAAAAACCACCATTACTTAACCCCACTAATAAATATAATTTTATCTTAGAATACACACATGCCAACGGTTGGATCCCATAGATCTGTTCTGCTAAAAGTGGCACTTACACTGACGGAAGGTCCTTTTGTGTCAAGGGAAAGCTCCTTGCACCAGAGAAAAATCCCACAACTAGCAGGATCCAATCCAAAGGGTAGCACAAGGCATAGAAAAGTCTTAGGTATGTACAAAGATGACATAAGATTCAGACAAGTGGGGTAGCTGTGTTGGTCTGAAGTAGCACAATAATGTTTGAGTCTAGTGACACCTTTAAGACCAACAAAGTTTTATTCACAATAGTTTTAAGCCATGAATAAAACTTTGTTGGTCTTAAAGGTGCCACTGGACTCAAACTTTGTTCTACAAGACTCAGTTTAAGTCAGCTGTGTTTGTCCCTTTGACATTAATGGACATTAATTTAGCTGTACTACTCTCACTGATTTCAACAGGACTGGATCATAACTAGCTTTTGCTGGATTCAGGCCACTGACAGGAATCATGATAGCCTTACTTGGGTTTGGATTCAGAACAATTACAGTCATGCATATCTTGCGGCAAACTTCCAGATAAGTAAATTGTATGTGTAATTTGCAGCATCAGTCTGACCAACATCCACAAACTATGCTGGATTTGTCGCCTTGCACATGGATTAAGGGTACTGGCAAAAAGAGTACAATGACAACAGCTTCAGAATTGCCAGATACCTATGCTGAAGTCCTACTGGATCAGCTTACTATTTGATCCAGACTAAATTTTCAGCTGAACATGAAATTGAGCAAACTCTGGAGAATGGCAGAAGACAGGAGGGCTTGGCATGATGTGGTCCATGGGGTCATGAAGAGACAGACTCAACTGTGCGACTCAACAACAACAACAACAAAATCTTCAGCTGACAGAAGGCACTTCCATAAATGGAACAGAAATTTCCAGGCTGCCTTTCCCATCCAACTGGGAGCCCACTGATCTCCCTGAAAAGCTACTCCTGTGGGAAAGGGGAGCCTCAGGAATGGCATCAGGGGCAAACCAGGGGTCTGCAGCAGGAAGGAGAGATGGGAAGAAATTACACCTCTGGTTCCATTAGAAAGTTTTTTTAGTCTGGATCTAACCCAATGGTTAGAACAGACACTTTCAGGAAGCATGTGCAAATTTTCACTTGAAAGAGTAGGTTTTGTTTTAGCCTGATTTTGTTTTGTTTTAAGTCTGATGTTGGAATACAATTTGCATATTTTAAGGGTTGTTATAGGATAAGAATTCCGATATAATTACTTTAAGAAAAATGTATATTTTTTTCTTGTTTTTTTCTTACTCAAACAGGCTGGTGGTTTGATGCATGTGGTCCTTCCAACCTAAATGGCTTGTACTATCCAATGCGACAAAATACAAACAAGTTCAAAGGGATTAAATGGTACTACTGGAAAGGATCAGGCTATTCTCTCAAGGCTACAACTATGATGATCCGACCAGCAGATTTCTAAAAACTTCTGCACTTTTTAGAATGTACATATTGAAATAACTGTACTTTGCAAATATTTTATTTTCAGAACACAGCACAACCTACAGGCTTTCTAAGTTGGTGGTATGTGGATACATCTTGCAAGAATCAGCTTGTTTTAGTTTCCAAATTTTTAAAAAGGTCCAGAAAGAAGACATACCTGATGTAATAATATTTGGTAAAAGACAAAGTGAAAAGGACTGCCTGAAAGACTTTGTTTTCTTGAACATTTATGATGTGTATGTATATAACTGGAATTGTGAAATACACATAACACTACACCCACATTTACTTAAGTCTTAGAAGTACCACTTTATGCCTTATTGCTGAATTTTAACTGCTACCTTAAAATAGTCTATAATGCCATGGTTGTAATTATGTACATAAAATATTTTTGTAATTAACTCCTACACAATAAAAGGCCCTTACTTTTATTGATCACATATGCAGGGATATTTTGCAGCATGTGGTAATATATTTAATAAGGTTTTGTAAATAATATTTCTATGGTTTGGGAGTTTTCTTTTAAAAATTCCAGTACTGAGTATACATAACTATTATTTTATTGAACATTTACATCTTTTAAAAACATTAATTCTCCCTGCTATGTATAGGGTTTCCTTACGTGATTCAATGTAATTTTAAAGAAAATTGCACTGTTTTTCTTTCCGATCTCCTTTATGTTTTAGATAATATTGTCAGGAAATCTCCCTCTTTTTGGGCAAAGCAAACTGCTTCTCTGTTTTCTAGCTGAATTAGCTACCAGTTCAGTTCTGTTTTTATTATGGCCCACAGGCCATTCGAAAGCAAACCCCCCCAACAACCCAGGTACCATTAAAAAGCTATACTTCCAACCTGAAAATCAAGAGGCATTTATTAAGGAAAGAACATACAAATAAAAAGGTTTCCCCCCCCCTTTCTCTCATCACATTTGATTGCCTCAGCAAACACATCAGTATTATAAAAGTTAATCTGTTCAAAAAGAAGGCACATTTGACAAGCAACACTTGTATTACTTACAGGAGCTGCAGGGAAATCCACTGAAAGTTCATATGGTTCTTCTGAAATCCAATGGCCATATTCCAAAGACCACAATACCTACAAAGTGAAGGAAATCACATTATAATTTATAGCAGCATTCAGTGGCAATATAGCAGCCTCTTTGAATACTGAACTAAAATAAATTGCAAGTTGAATAGGCAGTTCTACTTTTTCCCCCTTCAGGAAAGCTATCATTTAAACATGTCATTGCAGATAAAACATTATATACCGTTTATTTCAGTCAATTTAAAGGACTCTCTGAAATATCACTGGCCAACAGTAAAAATAGAAGCCTTAAAAACAGAGTAATTTTTTTTGCCTTTTATGAAGGCCTGAATAAAGGCTTCAAAGTATATGGCCAGGATCCAATGAAGTAACTCAGACATGCCTGAGAGTTTGGACAACCCATGAGATTATTTTTTTCTGGTTTGACTGAATTGCCAGCATCTGAATCACACCATAGCTCACAATGGCTTTGAAAATCTCTGTGCAGATTTACTGCTTTGCAAGTGAACTACTTAAAAAACAACCCTAGAGAATTTGGAAATAGTTCTATGGTTCTTTCTAAATGGCCACACACCATCCTATAACAATGCCCAGACTTATGCCAAACAAAAACCAAACATCTCAGCTTGGAAAACATGCACTGAAAGAAAGCATTTGTTCTGTTTTTGTTGAACTAGGTATACACTGCCACACTGCAAATACAATTCTGTAAGACCAGGGAATAATGTACAAAAGTAGTGTTTAATATTTTCATGGTTGCCAACAGAGGCAGACACCAGGAGTACAAAGTTTCAGGGTCCCAGATCATCTGTGGTACTGAGGCACTAATCAGGATGGTGCTAGGGGACAGCAGAATTATATCTGTTCTAATCAAGCATTGGGGTAACTTCTGAATGACAGGCCAGAGCCAGAAGGATCTATCTGGGGTTTCATGGCGGCTTTTGGCAGCCCTTTTAAAAATAATCTCATGACAGGAACTGCCATACTGTCAGAAAAAGACATTTCCAAAAACAAAGTACAGCTGTCACCTAGCATTCTGCCTCAGTATTGGATTATACCTCACACTTTTCTGGATCTTTGTTGTTATTTCTTTCAGCATTCGGAAACATTAAAAAACTATCCTTCTAACTGCTACCACACACTAATAGTTATGTATACTGAAATGGAGTGTGCAAATTGATTGGACCTCCTTGCATATACGTACTCTTTTTTCAGCAATTAATTTATTTGTAGTCCCGACAGCTGGTATCTATTAAATTACATTATATCATTCACCTATTTGTCCCTTTACAGTATTGTATTACTCATTAATACATAACTAGATGTGGGTGAAGGTAAGAGACAAACAGCAAACTCATAGCCATTCATGATTTCACTTAGACCTGTAATCAATAGCTGGGATGCTCATAACAATGATTTAACATGACCAATCCCGGAAGGACTATTACAATGAGATTTTAACAAAAGATCAAAACAAGAGCAGTTTACAACTGTTCAATGGCTTTTTCCACACGAACAATATGACATCCTCTACAGTAACCTGCTTAAATGTGTCATTTCCTCTACTAGTTTCTGTTTAAAATACAAAGGAAAAAACCTAGGATTTGATCATTTATATTTTACCTTGATATGGTACCTAACCCCTTTGTTAGGCAAATGATGTAAGAACGTTGCTAATAATACTAAATTATTTGCCAAGGGCCTCCAGATTCATATTAATCCTTACCACCTCCCAAACTCTGACATGGGTTAATGGTCCAGAGGCTTCATGGTTGGATAAAGAACTAAAATAATCTGTATAAATTTCTGATACAGTAATTAGCCTTTCTAATATATTATTTTTGGTAAGGGAGATATGGGAATGTATAAGTAGTTTATCTTGGCACATAAACTTTCCACAGAACTAACATCCAAGGAAAGGAAGTATTAGTGGCACCTTGGTAAGACTAAAAAGCAATTGGGAAAAATTAGCCTGTGTTACAGAAAAATGGCAGTTAATGTATTAATGTGCAGCTATAGGCAACACCTTTCTCAGATGAATTGCAGTTTAGGAGCATTGGGCCAGACAATTTTTTCTTTGAATAGGGTTACATAAAATACGTTACCCAAATCCCTTAGCATCAAACAACTTCCTGTTTCTGCAGCTGTACTTGATTTCTTCCCACTCCTGGGATACTGGAACATTAACACCGGCTTTTAATCTGTTTCTGTTAAAATCAGTGTGTACAGATGGAACACTACCTCACTAGTCACTTGAAATGTTTGCACTGTTATCTTGTTTCCTTACATATTAAAAAATATAGGGAGGGCTTTCATATTATTTCTGGAAAGTTTAAGAATATACTGCAATTGATTCGTATGTAGCTGGTTGAAAATCTAAATTAACAAGACATGCAGTCTCATGATTTTTGTGCAAGTTCAGGGAATCATGAAGACTGGTCAAAGTATAAACAACTGAAAATTAATCCAATGAAGAAGAGGACTTGTACCTGAGTCATGGGGTGACTGGGCCAGGCATCCAGCTCCCAACACTGGATGGGGCACTGCTAATACCTGTGCCAGTGATAAAGAGCTTGGGTGTGGTCCTGGACACCTCATTTTCCATGGAGGCCCAGGTCACAGCAGTTGTAAGATCTCCATTTTTCCATCTGTGGCAGGTCAAGCAACTGGTTCCTTACTTTTCCCCCCACAACCTAGCTACAGTGATCCATGCAAAAGTCACCTCTAGGCTGGATTATTGTAATTTAATCTATGCAGGGCTACCCTTGAGACTGCTCCGGAAATTGTAGCTGGCCCAAAATGCAGCGGTGCATGTCCTTATGGGAACACCCATAAGAGCACACATACATCCGGTGCTTCACTAGCTGCATTGGCTCCCAGCTGAATTCAATATAAAGTTCAAGGTCTTGGTTCTTACATTTAAAGCTCTATGCGGACTGGGACCAACATACCTGCAGGACCATCTTTCTCTATATAGCCCCCGAAGGGCCCTGTGCTCTTCCATTCAACATCTACTGGTTGTCCCTGGCCCCAAAGATGTCCACCTAGCCTCAACCAGAGCCAGAGCCCTTTGGGCTCTGGTGCTGACGTGGTGAAATGCCCTCCCTAGTGAGACCCGGGCCCTATGAGATTTAATGCAGATCTGCAGGGCCTGTAAAACAGAGAGGTTCCACCAGGCCTGTGGTCAAGACAGCGACAACTCAACCACAGTGGCCTCCCCTGCCCTGCCCTGCACTGCTCAGCTATGCTCAGTAGCACTACAGCAGCACTACTCACCCAACCACTTCTCCTGCACTGTTTAGATCAGCAGCTACATCGAAACTGGAACCTCATCCTGTTCAGTAAATTATCTAGCTGGTGCCTCTTAAGGATTTTATATGTACAAACTGTTTATACTGTTTTATGCTTTATTATTGTATTTGGTTTTAAATTTTGTATGGTTTTAAGAATGCTGTGACCCAACCCGAGCCTGCTTGTGGGGGAGGACAGGATAAAAGCCAACTAGAATAATTACTTTGGCATTGTAATTATCTAGCAGCCCCCTAAATATACTACCACACGTATGAAATCAGTGACCACAATCGTTCTCTATAATGACTCCATATTATTAAACTAGCTGTGGCATCAGATACACAATTCCTTTTATACCAACATAGTTACCCAGTTGTTGACTGTTCAATGGAAACACAGGTGTTATATTTTTTAGCCTTTATAACTAAACATGGGGAAAAATCTGTTTTCCTGTTGCTCCTCTATTTTAAGTGGCCTGATTGTTTTCAGTAAATATATCCATGCTTTTTTGTTCAATGCTTTCTTATTTCTCCTTATAAATTTATTTATTCAAAACGTTTTTATGCCACCTTTCCACCAGACCAGGGTCCACAAGTCAATGAAGTATTAAAGCATTCAAGCAGTTAAATATACATTTAAAATTATAAAATAATTCAATTAAAACAATTACATCCATAATGCATATTTCTTGCCTTACCTTGTTGGCAATTACTACACTGTTACAGGGTTGAATCCAGCCAAATTTTCTGCCCAATCTCACTCAATTCTCTTTTTACTACAGCCCCAAATCACATGCCTATTGTCTATGGAGGCCCCCCACATAGCCTTATTGGTAGTCAAAGAACGGAAGATTGGTATTCACTTACCGTGAAGCTTCCTTTCTTGGTGGTCCAGGAGTGGGACAGTCCTTCCTTATGGGATTAGGCTCCTCCTCCTCACGCAGGGTTGGTCTCATTGATTGATCCAGCTGGGGGAGGGGCCTATCCCCTGGGCTGTCCCCAGTCGTCACCAAACCATGCACTCTCCCACAGCCCGTAGCACTAAGACTGAACACAATTTCTCAACATCATCAAATTGTGTATAACGTAATACTTGTAACAATATTTCCCCCCTAAACGAAGGAAGCCAACATGGCGTGAACTTAACTATTAACACACGCTAATGGCATGACACTGCTGCCACTGACTTATCATCGTTTCAACCTTCCTGTGTATCTAGAAGCTGTCCTTTCCCAAATAGGGTGGGTAGGACTGTCCCACTCCTGGACCACTGAGAAAGTGGTTCACAGTAAGGGAATACCAATCTTCCGATCTCCGGTGGTCCAGTGAGTGGGACAGTCCTTCCTTATGGGACATAGAAAAGAAGTAGTATGCCCCGAGGGCGGGTCGCCTGGCTTCCAGATCTACAGGGTGTGCTGCTACACTCTGCGCCCAAAGGCTGCCTCAGCCAAAGCCAACTTATTGATTCTATAGTGCCTCGTAAGAGAGTGCACCGACTTCCAGGTTGCGGCCTTACATATCACATCCAAGGACAGAAAGGACCTGTACACTGCTGAGGTGGCCGCCCCCCGTACTGAATGTGCAGTAATCCCGTTTGGGGGATCCAGCCCTTGGGCCTTGTAGGCCAGCGCAATGCAGTCCCTAATCCACCTACTAAGGGTAGAAGTAGAGACCTGTCTTCCCATATTTGCTCTCCTAAAGGATACAAATAGCACCTCTAGTTGTTGGTACTGCTTAATTCTATCGATATAATAGCTAAGT